GGTTTTATTGTTGTCTTTGCACAGTGCTGGGCACACGGTTAAGTTTTTCATACTACACAGACTGTTGTTGTTGTTCAGTCATTTCAGTCCTGTCTGACTCTCCATGACCCCATTTGGGGTTTTCTTGGCAGAAATACTGGAGTGGTTTGCCATTTCCTTCTCTAGCTTTTTTTTTCTGATGAGGAAACTGAGGCAAACAGGGTAAAGTGACTTGCCCAGGATCACCCAGCTAGTAAGGGTTTGAGGCCAAATTTGAACTCAGGTCTTCCTGACTCCAGGCCCTCCATCTACTGCACCACCTAGCTGCTGCCCTGCTACAAGGACTTCAATTTTAAAATACCTCAAAGAACTGAGCTGCATCAATTGACAGGGTACACTGTCCCCCCAGTACAACAGGCAGAGAAAATGGAGATAGTGGGATGAAAATATTTATCTCATGGTAAAATTATGATTTCTTGCAACAAATAACACCCTTGCTCCTTCTTCCTCTTAATAGATGCCTGTTGATTCTTTCAGATCTGTAGTATATCTGCAATTGGTCACTGCAACTTGAAAAGAACAGAACACATATCTGGAGCAGAAAGAGACCATCTAGTTCAACCCACTCATTTGACAGATGAGGAAACTGAGGACCAGGAAGGTTAAATGATTTACCCAGTGTCACACAGTAAACAGCAAAGGTAAAATTTGAACCCAAATCCTCTGACTACAGCTCCAGAGTTCTTTCCACTGTACCAAGCTTCCTCATAGATCCCAACTCCAATATTTACTAGCTGTGTGACACTAGGCAAGTCCCTCTGTACCTTAGTTTCCGTATCTGAAAAACTGGGACAAAAAAAGTAATTGCCCTACTATTAATACTACTCACTGAGTGGTTATAAGGAAAGCATTTGGCAAACCTTAAAGCAATGTGTCATTATAGAGCCAAAAGACCAGGTCAATGGAAGAAACCCCCAAACTCCTTTTCCTCACATTTTACCTTCTCCTTGGAGCTTATGCTTACCTCTATCATGGGCAAGGTACCTTGGTAACTCCCCTTTCCTCCTTCACAAACTCTCCTCCCCAGAAAGGATTCAGTAGCAGTCATTTACATTTTAGTGAAAGTTAGACCCAGAGAACAGAATCCTAGAATTTCAGCACTTCAGTGGACTGGTTACTTAATAGGATCCTAGAACTAGAAACATTAAAGTTTATCTTATCCAACCCTCTCATTTTCCAGCTGAGAAAACAGAAACCCAGAGAAAGCAGCGGCCTGCCCAAAGTCACACAGGGCAAAAGTGGAAATGTCAGGATGCAAATTCAGGTCCTATGACCCCAGCGTCAGTTTGCTTTGCAACACCCCACACAGTTTCCTCCAACCTTAGAAAGCTTCTTGTCTGGGTGGAACGCGTGACTTTCGGTTTAAGCCTTGTCTTTAAGATTATGGAATGAAAAATATCTGTCTCCTGTTCAAGAAACTTTGCTCAACTTCAAACAGGTGACTGATGGGTAGGACTCTTATCAATGCCCCCTGAGATGGAATCAAGTCTATTTTCACTAAGATCTTAGAGTCACAGATTTGCAGCTGCAAGGAAGCCCAGAGGTCCTCTAAGGACAGTGGTATCAAATTCAAGCAGAAATAAGGCCCCCTAATCTTGCACAGAAGGATCCCTGTGGGCCAAATACTGACTTAGTTTTAAAATATATTTATCTATGTTTTATTGTATTTTTCTTCTGTTAAATATCTCCCAGTTACATTTTCATCTGGTTTGGGTGCACCTGGGCTGCAGGTTGCATTTGGGCTTCCTGTTTGACTTTGTCGATCTCATCTAACTGCTCACTTTACAGATGAGGAAACTGAGGCCCAGAGAAGTTAACTCACTTGCCCAAGGTCACAAAGGTAGTCAATGGCAGAGCCAGGATCGTAACCCAGGTCTTCTGACTCCAAATGCAAAATTCTTTCACGGGACTGTTCTCCCTCCTAATCTTACATCATGCGATCTTTTTTTTTTTTGGTGTCCTGGAAGTAACTATTGAAATGACTTAGGAATTGCTAAAAGAGAAACTAAAGATACTGTTGGCAAGCTATTAGAAGAAAATTTCCAAAGACAAGTTAAGTGGGAAATCCCTCCTTCCTGCTTCTCTATCTCCTCCTGGAGCTACACCCACTAAACTAACCAGGCAGAGTTCACTTGGCTCAGACTCACGTGGCCTGAAAAAAATCTCAGATCCGGCCTCCAAAGAAATAGTTTGTGGGCTAAACACATTTGTATAAGGTGAAAACTGGAAATCAGACCCATCAGAATTGTGACAGGTCATCATGGGGAATGTTAGTGGTCAAGAGCAGGGAAACCAACCACTTGGGAACTGGTTACAAAATGCACAGAAGTACTTTTGGATGCTTTCCTAAAAAGGCCAGAGATTGACTCTTCAACACTGGGCCAATGGACTTAGCCAACTTTGTGCCTCTCCCCACTAACTACTGGAGCCCTCAGGCCATAGCCATTGGGAAGTGTCTTCCCTTTAAGATGGCTACCATGTTTAATTTTTTCATAATGGTCTGGAGTTTCAGACTATTTGTGGGAGGTCCTTTTCTTCCATGTATAGCACTGTAAAAAGTGCATTAAACTTGGAGCCAAAGGCCCTGAGTTCAAATCCTGTCACTTACTACCTGTAGCCCTTGGGAAGGACCACCTCTCTGGTCCTCAGTTTCTTCAGCTATAAAATGATAGAGATTATTGTAGTGAGGGCCATTCCAAAAGCATGGTGGGTATCATTCTAAACTGCTACAGGAGTGTGGAACCCCTACATAGTTTCAGACTAGGACTTACCATGCTGTCTTCGGGAGAGCTAAGTGGCCAAGTGGATAGAGTACCAGGTCTGGAGTCAGGAAGACTCTTCTCTCCTTGAGTTCAAATCTGCTCTTAAACCCTTACTGACCCTGGACAAGTCACTTAACCCTGTTTGCCTCAGTTTCCTCACCTGAAAATAAGCTGGAGCAGGAAATGGCAAACCACTCCAGTCTCTTTGCCGAGAAAATCTCAAATGAGGGCAGGAAGAGTCGGACAGGACTGAACAACAACAAAAGGCTAGATGACACCTCTAAGGAGTCTTTCCTCTCAATGTATATTCTAATATTATCCTCTTGAACTCACATATCTGAATTTCACACACACAGAATTACAGATGGGAAGGACTTCCCACATCCAACTTCCTCATTTTACACAACAGCAAATGTGCACAGAGAGTAACTTGGCCAAGATCACATTAGTAGGAGAGCCACATTTGAACCCAGACCCTCTGACTCCAAATTCACTTTGCCAGAGGTAACCTAGAGAGGAGTCCAGTCTGCTGGCAAAGCATCTCTCTGCCCAGCCCTTTACTACAACTGGGGGAAGATGTTCCCTTAAAGCTAGTGGGAGGGGTTTTGAAAACAGCCACCTGTAAAAACATGATTTAGGGGTTTTTCTGAATCCAGCTTGAGCCAAAGGCCCTGGGGCAGCCTAACTCCAGTCCTGGGCAGCAGTTACAAGCACCTTGGTTGTAAAAATACAAGGCAGGAACTGTGCCAGTATAGGGCCAGTCCCTAAACTGGGTTTTATTAATGCATAACCTATCTGCCCTCATGCAGCGAACCTTTGCAATGATTGGGGCCCCTTGGGTAGCAAGGATGAGTTCCTTCAGACCCTGGGGAGTTTCCACTCAGACAATGCCCCTGTGTTGCCAAGACCCAGCAATACATGAAACAAGTGAGGTGATTCAATGGAATGAGCAGATTTCGATCTGGGAGAGCTCTCATAGCTTCATTTGAGGAAACAAAGGGCCCTCTGGGAAGCGACTTACCCAAGGTCACCAAGGCAGGGAATTCAATCCTAGGTCCCCCAACTTCCAGAAAAGAGGGTGGGACTGTCCCAATTTGTCCTATATCCAGAGCTAGGACAATGTCTGGCACGCTGCTGGAGCTTAGTAAATGCTTGTTTGTTGATTGACTTCCAGAATGCCCTGGAGAGAGAGCCTCCCTCTGTTCCCTCAGTTCCAGACTACCATTCCGATTACCCTCTGACCTATGGACTTAGCCCACTTTGTGCCTCTACCCACTGACTACTGGAGCCTTCAGGACTCATCGTTTTTTCTCGCTTTCATACCCTGGAAGCCCTCTTAAAACGAACAGAAACTTCTGCCCCAGGAATGCCGAGACCAAGAGCAGAATGAGAGACTCACAGTCGCTGCAGGCAGAGCTAGGTGTGCGTAGGGGGTCGGGTCGCAGATCCCCGGCCCGAGGTGGGGGAGGGCAGGGAGTAGGGGAAGGACTGAACGCCAGTTGCGGTACCCGGGATCGGGGGGCGGGTCCCTCCAGCAGAGCCTTCTCCTCCTACTACGGCGGGGAAAAGGTGGGGGGATGGGTGTGTGTGTGTTGGGGAGGGGGGTGCTCGGTGCCTCAGTGGTGGCCCAAGGGTAAAGTCCCTGGCCAAGAGGCAGGCAGAGGGCTGGAGCGCTACCCCAGGGCAGGCCGACAGGAGGATAGGACGCGATCTGAAGGATGCGAAGGGACTGGATGGGGAATTGGGGGGCTGGAGAGGCCCGAGGCTGCCTGTCTGCCCCTGGGAGGAGAAGACGCCCCCAAACTGCTCCTACCTCTCGAGCTCGGGGTGGGGGGAGTGGTCGGCGCAGCCCTGCAGAGGAGATCGAGGTAGGGAGGAAGGTGGACTCCGAAGCCCCCCGACTCAGACCAGCCATGAAGGGGGCGTGACTGGCGCAGCCCAGGGATGAGGGGGGGAGCCCCAGCCCGAACAAGGGAAAGAACTGACCGACCCACAGCTTGGTCTTGGCTCAACCCCAGAGACCCCCGGAGTCCCCTCCCGAAGCTAGGACCTCCAGGCAAGCAGGCAGAGTCGCGGGGGTCGGGGAGGCGACCAGCGAGCGGCCGGGGGGGGGGGGGGTGTGGCGCGGTGGCGCTCCCTGGCTCTGCCTGGGCCGCTGGGGTCGGAAGGGGCGCGGGCTCTACCTGGCGGGGCGCTCACCTGTGCTGCTGGTCCGCTCCCCTAGCCGGCAGTCTGTCCCTTTGCTGCTGGGGCTCCTCCTCCCCGAAGCAACCGCCTCCTCTTTCACCTCCGGGGGAGTTCGGTTCTGCCCTCCAGGCGGACCACCCCCAGCTTCCCGCCGGCCCGCCTCCCGCCGCGGGCTGGAGTGCGCGGGGGAAGGGGGAACGGCAATGTGGAAGGCGGGGAGTGAGCGCGTATGTATGTGTAAGTGTGCAAGAGAGAGAAAAAAAGAGAGAGAGAGGTGATCGATGGGAGGAGACGGAGAAGGAGGAAGCAATACATGAAACGAGTCTGCTCTAGTCCGCCTCCCAGACCCACGCCCCTCCACCAACCCGGGCCTCCAGACCGCCCCGCCTGCCCTGCCCGGCCCAGCCCTACTCTACTCTACCCTGCCAGGGTCCTAGAGCCTCCTGCTATGAGCGATGCCGAGGCAGGGGAGCAGGTAAGAACCCCTGAATCTTGGGGACATCCCTCCTTCGGGTCCTCGCTTTAGTGGAGACCAGTTTGTGTGACCCAGGGTGAAGGCCTTCCTTCGCATGACCCCTGGCAGAGTGGCCCAAGAGCCGAGGCTCTCAGTCGAAACCCTCATTACCTAGGGAGACACCCGTCCTATTTGTCTCCCATGTTAATTGTCCTCGCTTCACTCGCTGGTTCACGCGCTCAATGAACATTCATTCAGAGCCCGTAAGTGCTTGACATTGCTGGCCATACAAAGGGGCGGGGGTGGGGGGTGGGGTGGGATGGGGGGGCGGGGAACAAAACCCAGTTCCTGTCCTCATTGAGCTCTTAGCAGTAGCTTCGGTGTCGTGAAAGTCAGAGAAATAGGGTGGAATTTGGGCTCCAGTAACTTACTCCTTGTGTGACTGGGATAAACAGAATGGACATTTTTGGAAGGGGCCTCCTAGATCTTCTGGTCCAAGGCTCTCTCCAGTCAATCAGGACCCCCATCAATTCAATTCAAGAAGCATTTACTGTGGGTTAATGGATACTCTGGGATCAGGAAGGGGCGGGGCGGGGTTGGTGGTGGTGATGAGTGCTCACCTACCATTACACAGCCAATTCGACTTCATACAAATCATATCCCCTCTCTGGCATTCAGTTCCTCATCTACAAAATAAGAAAGTTTGGGATTCCAGATACCTTAAAAGCCCAAGCCCAAGACAGTGCTAAAACCCAAGGCTTGGTCCTCTTGACTATTGATAGAAACCCCCCCCCCACCCCCGCCCCTTCCCAAAGTGTTCACCCAGTCATTGCTTGACAATCCTTAGTGATGGGGAACTCATTACCTCACAGGGTAGCATCACCTGACTGGCAACTGGGTTAAGAGCTTTTATGCAGCTATGTGATGCAGTGGATGGACTTGGACTCAGGAAGTAGGTACTGTTGTTCAGTCATTTCAGTCTAGTCCAGCTGTCCAATGAGCTGGAGAAGGAAATGGCAAACCACTCCAGTATCTTGGCCAAGAAAACCCCAAATGGGGTCATGGAGAGTCAGACCTGGCTGAGAATGACAGAAGAACAAGACCAGGAGTTCCTACCTGGTAGGCTAAGGGCCCCTAGGGGGAAAGATTCAGTTTATTTCAATAAAACATTGACTAAATTCCTACTAAGCACAAGGCCCCCAGCTAGTTACTGAAGATCCGAAGGTAGTAGGATGCGGCTCCTACCCCTCCAGGATTTTATAATCTGGGAATATAACAATTCACAAATCAGCAAATAGAAAGGAAATGGGGGAGGGGGGAGTGCAGACTCCCTGGGGGGTGGCATTTGATCGAATTTAGGGTTGGAGCTTGGAAAGAAGCTAAAAGCAGACCATACTTATTGGTTACTAGGGAAGGCTGAGAACTGGACCTAAGATTTCACTGGTTTAGGGAACTCCCAGGGGACAGGCTCTAACAACACAGATCAGCTCCTTCTCTGAAATTTATATTCTAAGAGCATTAATACTGTGAGCACAAAGATTGTAAATGACTTACCCAGGGTCACATAGCCACATGTGTCAATGGCAAGATTTGAACCCCAGGCTTCAATAATTCAAGGCTAGCTCTTTAGCCAATAAGTTATTATACTTTGGTGATTTGAGAGGGGAGAGGAGAGAACATCAGTGAAACTTTAAGAAATAAAATACACAGAAGAGAGCTGCTGCTAAGTGGAGCAGTTTTGTTACTACTGTAACAATTCTGTTGATAATGTCTGATTTATCCTGTATGGATCTTGTTTTTACATAGTTATTTTCATGTTGTCTCTGTCATTAGACTGTGAGCTTCTTGAGGACAAGGAAGGGTTTTGTTTTTTTTTAAACCTTTCTTTGTATCCAGCACCTAGCAGAGTGCCTGACACGTGGTAGGAATGCCTACTGACTATTGGGTGAAACTTAATATTTGCTTTAAAAAAACTACATAAGAGAAGTTCATAGATTTGCATACAATATTCTTTCCTATTCTTTTTGTATATTGAAGAATGCACGCGGATTGATGCTTAAGTTCATAATTAAAAAAAAGAAAACTTAATTTTAAAGAGAAGAAAGTAAATCTTTCTATAGTGCCTACTATGTACCAGCAATGGTGCTAAACACTTTCAATCCTCACAATGGTCCTGGGAGGCAGGTTCTGTTATTATCCCCATTTTACAGTTGAAAGAAACTGAGGTTACATGACTTGCTCAGGGTCACACAGCTAGTAAATGTTTGAAGCAGGATTTGAATTCAGGTCGTCCTGATACAGGTCCAGCATCGTGCCACTTAGCTGCAGTAGTTTTTCAGTTTTCTCTGACTCTTAGTGACCCCATTTGAGGTGTCCTTGGCAAAGATACTGGACTGGTTTGCCATTTCCTTCTCTAGATCATTTTGCAGATGAGGAAACTGAGTCCCAGAAAAGTTAAATGGCCTGCTCTAGGGCATAAGGAACAGAGGCAGAATTCCCAGTCCTCTGAATCGATTGCACTCTCCCCTCTACTACTCTGATTGCTTGAGCTCACATACAATCAAACACGCAGAGGTAGAAATGGAATCAGCCAGTAGGCCTTTGGGGCTGGATGGTTGAAAAAAGAGTAAAGGGAAGTAAGTCTGGAAATCTGGGTTGTGAAGGGCTTTAAATACCAGAGGAATTTGTATTTTATCCTGGAGGCAATGGGGAGCCACTGAATCTTATTGAGCAGGTGAGAGACTCAGCTAGCCATGTGCTTTAAGGAGTACCAAGTGGAGGGAGAGATTGGAGAAGGGAGACACGAGAAGCAGGGTAATATTTTAAGGGGTTTTTTCCAACCTTAAAGTGCTCTATTAATGCAAACTATTGTTCTTTGCTTATTACAAGGCTATTTTGCACAGGGTCCTGGATTCCGTATGTGCACTAAGCATTGTCATTTTGATCTTTATTTACTGCCAACAAACTCTGCAAGATGACTCAGTATAGTAAATTAACATTCTTTCTGATTAAATAATAGGCCTTGCACACATATGACTATTTTTCAAATGTATTATCAGTGCTGGTAAAATGCAAAAAAAAAAAAATCATTTAAAAAAGCATTGCTGAATTCTCGGTAGCAGGGTTTTTTGTTTATTGTTTTCCAACGTAAATTTCTAACAGTACAACTATTAGGGCGGTTCTCAGGCTTGAAAAGATTGAGAACCACTGCTCACAGCCAAAGCTGAGCCAAAAGAATATTTCTAGTTCTATCTGTCGAGTTTGGGATGGCTCAAGCTTTGCTTCAGAAAGGGGTCTTCCTCTCGGTAAGTGGCCAACATTCTGAAATTCAAAACTAGCTTCCAGGATCTCCTGCCTCGAGAGAAATTGTTCTATAAGGACTAAGGATGGGGCAGGGAAGCTCTCTGAGAATGGGCTGTAACTCTTTGAAAGCAATGTTAAGGAGGGCATCTAGCTGGCTCAGGCACATGCCACATAACAGCTGGGGAAGGGGGAAGGGTTCTGGCTCTGCCGCTGCTATTTGGGATCTGTGTGATCTTGGACAAGTCACTGCCCCTCCACCTTGGGCCCCAACTCCCTCCCCTGTAAAGTGAGAGGGGAGGGTTATGAATAATTTCTTATAGCTGGAAAGGAGCCAAAGTCATTTTGTAATAGATTATATTTAGTCCTTCATTCAACAAGCATTTATTGAGCTATGTTTTTTTGGGGGGGGGGACTAGGCAATGGGGTTAAATGACTTGCCCAGGGTCACCCTGCTAGTAAGTGTCAAGTGTCTAGGCCAGATTTGAACTCAGGTCCTTTTGACTCCAGGGCCAGTGCTCTAACCACTGCACCACCTAGCTGCCTTTTCAACAAGCATTTATTAAATGCCCTTGTGTTCATTCCAGGCACTGGAGATTGAAAAAGACAAAAAAAAAGAGATGCGCCCCTGCCATCAAAGGGCTTGCATTCAACTGATGGAAAACAGCATGAACACAGACATGTCAAAGCAAAATAAAAAACAAAAATAATTATGTGTGTGTGTTAATTATTGAGGGGAATAGGGGATCAAGAAAAGTCTCATGTAGGAAGTAAATGCTTGATCTGAGCCTAAAAAAAAGTATTAATAAATTATAACACTGCCCCCCAACACACACGTACACACATACACATATTCTGTAACTTTGCAAATTCCCCTCATATAGATGTTCAGTTGGGAGTCCATTTCTAACAACTCATATTTCTTTTCCATTTTTTCTTAAGATTTGTTGTTGTTCAGTTGTTACGATCATGTCTGACTCCATTTGGGGTTTTCTTGGCAAAGATGGTTTGCCATTTCCTTCTCCAGCTCATTTTTACAGATGAAGAAAGTGAGACAAACAGGGTGAAATGACTTGCCCAGGGTCACCCATCTAGTATAAATGTAGCTCTTGAGGTTACATTTTAACTCAGGTCTTTCCTGACTCCAGACCCAGTACTGATAGGTTCCCTTTAACGTATCCAAAGTGCAGGTAAAACGCATAGTGAAATAGATATAATCACATTTGTTTCTCTTGCTACCTGGAATGGTTCTTCCCATTCACTTGACTCTGCTGCCTTTTCTTTTCTTTCTTCCTTTTTTTTTTAAGCATGTGGCATTTTGGGAGCAAGGGCAGGCAGAAACACACAAAGAAACTTCTCATTCTGTTATTCAT